AAGAACAAAAGCCAGAGATTCAACCCCAAAAAAAAAAAAAAAAAAAAAAAAAAAAAAAGGCAAAAAACAATTTCTACTGAATGGTGTCAGTTGTGCACCACTGTAAAATTGAAAAAGCAGTAGTGAAACCTCTAAACTAGGAATTTCCATAGTTCCCTGACTCTTGAGGACATAATATCACAATATTTATAATATCAAGGGAAATTCATTGTTTAAAAAAATGTTTAATTGAATTAATTTATTTGAATTTTAATTGAATTTAATTATTTTTAAATTATATTTAGGACCTTGCACTTGCAAGGCAGGCAGAGTCCCACTGAGCTAAATCCCTGGCCCTAGAAATGTGTTGTTTTAAAAAGACTCTGATTATCTAACGCAAGCCATGAAATTCCTCACGTGAGAATAGCTTAGTTAAAAGATAGATCTTGTCACTCACAGGTTACCTGAGAGTGCTTAACACACCTGTTTGGGAGAATATTTGACGAACTGGTCAACACTGTACATTTTGGGTTATCTGGGGCAACTTTCATGGCTATCTTTCCCTTCACTTTCCTGAGCAGAGATGTGTTTTTCCATGCATCAGATAACATTAAATCAGGCTGATGGGCATGAGAAAACATATTCCTACTCTTGACTAAATCTGGAGACACAGTAAATGTGCAGGTTAAAACGCATTATCACAATAACTTAGTCCTCAAGGCAACCATCTATTTCCACACATACTTGACCAACATTGTCAATGTACTTTGCAATATAATGAGAATAAAATCAGAAAATATTTTTTATAAACATTCTATGATTTCTATTAATTGAAATTCACTACATAATATTAAAAAGCCCAAAAATGTAAAAAGATACAAAAAGAATGAAGAATTTCTATAGCGTTAATGAATTCTGCATCAGAGATAAAGCAAAGCTAGGCGAAACACACAAAACTAGAGAAAAATTACAAATATCGGCACTTACCCATATTTTGCAAAATTTGCCCAGTGTTTCATTATGGATCTACTCAAAATTTCTTCTGCTTTTGTGTAATGACTTCTTCTTTCCAGAGGTAAACCAAAGACAAATTCAATTTCATAGCCATGCATAACTCCCATCCACTCGGGCCAAGGAAGTTTGGAGGATCGGTGTTCAAAAGAGTAGAAAAAGGCATGATTTCCCAAATCTGAGAAGGTTTTGGTAAACTGCAGAGCAGGGCATATAATATTATAGTCCCCAACAACGTCATCCAAGGCTTCTCGGTAGTTTTCAGGTCTCTGGTCATCTAGCCAGTCTGCATAATGGAAAAGGATTGATTCCCTTCCAAATTCACTCACTCCTGGAAAGCATATTTTTAAACCTTCTTGAAATTCCCTTCTATTTATAATACTGTTATTATCTTTGCTAAAACCGGGAGCACCATATACTAGAAAAGCTGTCCCTTCATCTTTATTCACACCCACCAAGATCTGGGTTTTTTTTAATTGTCCAAGTTGCAGTAAATTCTCTGGCATGTCAGTTAGAAAATCACCATCTACAGTTGGACCAAAATTTACTGACAGGAGAGTATCGTAAGGGAGAACAAATACTTCATTCAGAAGAATTTCCTGAGGATCTTTACTTTGAAGGCATTTGATTGTCTCAGTCTCAATGTCTTTGGAACAGCCAATAAATTTAGCCAATGTCAATGTTCTGTTCCTAACTTCATAAGGAGACATTACTGCCCAGGGTGCACTAGGGGACCCACTTTGCAGAATGGCTCTGGTGAATAGGGGATGGCTTTTAGAAGAAAGCAAATGAAGCCCAACCGAAGCTGCTCCTGCACTTTCTCCAAAGAGAGTGACACTTCTAGGGTTCCCACCAAACGCTGCAATATTGTTCTGGACCCACTGAAGTGCCAACTGTTGGTCAAATAGACCCAAGTTTCCTGGAGCCTCAGAATTTCCTGGTAAAGCTAAGAATCCTAGGGCACCCACTCTGTAGTTCATTGAAACCACAATAACTCTCTCAACCAGAGCCAGAAACTTGCCATCATAAACATATAAAGAGGACGTCCCAGTTTGAAAACCACCACCATAGATCCAGATCATCACAGTAGCATTTTTTGGCTTCGGTGATGGAATCCACACATTAAGATATAAACAGTCTTCACTGAGGTCTGTGTTTGGATTCCACATCTCTGATCCTTGGAAACCTGGGAAACTTTGATCTATGTTTTGATGGCAAGAATTTGCATATTTTGTAGCATTCCAAATTTCAGACCACTTGTTCAGAGGTTGTGGCTTTTTGAATCTAAGACTACCAACAGGTGGTTGTGCGTAGGGAATTCCAAGGAAGGCAGTGACTGTGCCACTAAGAACTGGCACGTTCATCCCTCTGACTTTTCCACTACTGGTTGTAACTAAGGTCTCTTCTTCAGTGTGGGACTTCCCGACAAGCACGCAGGACAGAAGAAACCACAAAATAGATGAGGTACTGGTGGCTGCATGCTCACTTTGCATATTGATCTCTGAAAGAAGAGTAGAAAATTCTATTGGCATCATACATATTGTGTTATAAATTGCTGCTGCTGATTAAACAAAATGTAGTGGATATTAATCCTACATACATCTGCTACCACTAAGAAGACCTGCGCAGTTTAAGAAAACATAATGAAGATGTTTCAGATTTTAATCTAGAAGAAAAATTAATAGAATGGAAAGCAAATGTTATTTCTTTTTGGAAATATTCATTATCAAATCACTGTAAAAACATTTTATATCTTAGGAAGCTTGACCCAAGAATATATAATATTTATTCTGTGCCATACAGAGCCATATCAAATGTGGCACTTCTTATGTTAGATATAATTTCTACCTCGGTTAGTAGAAAAAACATAAATGCATATATTTTCTGAAATATAATGACTGGGTCGCTTGCAGTCTATAGAATTGTATTTCTTGTCCATGGAATTCTCTCTGTCCTTTTCTATTCAATGGTCCCATTCACGGTCCCTTTGCCTACTGATTTCTTTCTCTGTACAATCTTAGTCAAGCCATAAAAAAGCATTTAGAGACTTCATTCATAGAACGTTAGGCAACAAAGATACTGTATTGGGAATGTATTTTACAAATTGTAAAAAAGCTCACAAACTCGTTTTCATTAAAAAAGAAAGCCTATGTTAAGAGATCTGAAATTGACAAAGGCTGGAGATATATACTAAGGAATTTCTCTGAAACTTGAAAAGATAAGGGGTTTCTTGGCCTGAATTACAGTCACAATGGCAAGTATTTCCTTGACCCAGAATATTTGTGTCTTAAATCAGCCTCATTCACTAGTGTTCATGAGAGAGCTATCATCAAGTATTTTTTGATTCCAACAAAAATCTGAATAAGTTAAACATGGGGTATAGCACTTGATTAATAATGACTTTATTTATATGACTGTATATCATTCTAGCAGTATCAATATGCACTGAAAAATATAAAAATACATAAAATGATTGTTACAACAAATTCTGTTTTTAAGTCAACTCACAGATTATTTTTTTTATACATTCTGCTTTGGTATAACTAAATTGTGTTAGGATCAATAAAATATACTATTAAAACATACAATATTCTTACACTTTGTACATTTATGACATTTAAATAATTAACTATGACCAATATAATTTGTTGTATTGTAAATATTAAGAAGAAAATAATCTCTAGTATTAATAATCTAAAGGTTCTGGTCACCTGACACTAACGGAATTTAATATTTTTGACAGGAGTTAGAGGCACTGCTACTATGTCTTTTTTATTCTTTTTTTTTGCTGAAAGTTACTAAACACATTAAATAAATCATGTGAACATTTGGAGAAGCACAAAGTAATATGAGGGATTGTTTTTCTTTTCTGAAAATTTACTTTGTCAAGGAGAATATGATACAAAGCTGGCTTTCTCTCAGCTGCATTACAATAAATTCACTGCAGCAGCCCTCTTTGACCTCCTTCCTCACTTCTACTTGCCTCAGTGAGTGGCCTTTTGAGGTCAACACAAGAGCCATTTGTGTTTTTTCTGCTTGGTTTTACTTAAACATTAATTTACCTTTAAAACCCAAACACAAAATGCTGATAAGTTTTGGTCTCTGAAAAATTTTAAATTTTGTTCTATAAAAAGTTTAATGATTTTATTGCAAAGCAACTATAATTTCTACAAAATATAGTTGCTTTGTGTGTAATTAACACATATGATAACTTCATTTTTTATTGTTTAAAATAGCTGCTATAGCATCTAAAACTGTAGATCATTCTCATGTTGCTCAATTTTATTTACATAAATATTTTGTATGTTTTTTATTATTTTGTGTCAAGTAGTTCAAGATTTTTACAGTACTATCTATGTGATGTAAAGACACTATTACTTCAACAGTAATATACATGAGTTTTTATTTGTAAATAATATAATTAATAGGACTACAAATGATTGGGGCAAGCACGTATCTATTGAAAAGACAACAAGGCAGTTCTCATTCACTGGTTCCTGTTGAAGATCCCTATATTCCATATTAATAAATCTGTACTTGATGTGGAAGTATAAATATACACACATGCTCAACATAGTCTAAGACTTTTACACCTGGCAGTAGCACTTTGATTAAAAAAACATCATTTTGTTTTACTCAAAGCTCATCACACATATTTAGATGAAATAATAAAAATATTTAAAAAGAAAAAAATGCTATTAGTTTATATATCTAAATATTTAATAATAATTAAAATATTCAATAAAACTTGTACTGTTTCTCCTATGAATTCTGGTATCATTTGCCACTGCAGTTAAGCCATTAAATTTTGGGGGTACACAACATGTTTAAAGAATGAGGCCAATTTTCTCACCATGTACAACTCTATATCTGAATACAATCAACTAACCTACTGAAGTAGTAATTAATATTTGAAAGAAAGATGTGAGCTTTGTTTGGAATGTCAAAGTAAATTAATGATGTGAGAGCCAGAAAAATTCCTGAAGGATAAAGAATTTCAAGTGCATCAAAGGCTCCAGGATATCAAAAGTTAATGATAATATTTGGGGACTTGTAGAGTTTTAAAAATACAACTTTTAAGACAAAAATGAGAAAATGTATCTTTTTGTTTTTCATTTTAAATATAGCTTGAAAATCTACCTTTCCTATAATCACAGCACTCTGGGATGTGAAGCAGGAGGATCACAAGTTCAAGCCCAGGTTGGGCCACTTAGAGAGTTAAAGAAAACCCATCTCAAACAAACAAAGACAAAAAGAAAAAAATATTAAAAAGGTTTGGTGATGTAGCTGAGTGTGAAGGCCGTGGATTCAATCCCTAGTACTCTTCCTCTCCCAGTTGACACCCCCAAATTTAAGTGACAAAATTCCCAAGCCAAATCTAATAATATGTAACTTTATACTATAAGATGATGTGATAAAATGATGGAAATAAAGAACTATTATGATATATTTGCCATAATTGAATATTAGCAAATATGCAAAATAATGGGCTAGCCAGTGACTATATAAAATATTCATAAAACTGCCTCCTGGGTATCAGGTAATTTTTCTATATTTGAAAAAGTTACCTTTAAAACACATATTTTAATTTGAAAACAATCTTATTAAAGTATTTGGCAAAGAGCCACATAGATGATATTAATATGATCTACACAAGCACCACTAAAGCACATCCGGTTAAATTTAAACAAATAAGTCTTTATACCAAACCTAAAAACTTGTTTTGTTGTAGGCTATGTGAAGTGAGCAGTCAGAGAAGTCTGTTTATAAATAAATTAACTGTGATGCTCTCTTTCAGGGACCCTTCAGATATCCTTTAGGCACTAGGAGGTTGTGTACTGGTAGAAGATGTTATATTAGTTATGAGAAGTATGAGATCTGTATCTGTCCTCAGGAGAAAAATTCACAAAATTTTATTGTAGAAACAATTTGAACATTCAATTACTAGATTTCATGAGTCTTCTTTGGAACTCGAGCCTGTTCTCAGGATATTATATGTTCAACTATATTTCTCTGTGACAGTAAAGATTTAGTAAAAATGAACAGATTTTTAACAAAATCACCAAAACAAAGTTAATATTTAATTTAAATATGTTATTATTACCAATACATAAATTAGGACCTAAATTTGTAAATAAGATGTGATTTGTTAAAATATTATTAGCTTATATTTTACAAAAATGATATATGCTGCTATTGGACTTTTTAAAAGAATTATATAACATGAGACAATGCAAATTAGTAAAAACACAAAACCTAAAAAGATAGAACAGAACTTTGAAAATCCAAGTAGAAATTATATTTCAGTTCCAAAACGCCAACCTATTTATTACTCGCAGAGAACTTTAAAGACACCATAACATGCATTAAACCTTACTCTTAAAGGAAAATTATTGTCCTTAAGTAATATTTAATAGAAATATAGTTGCAATTACCATAAGTACTAGTTTAGACTAGGCATTACCTTCTATTGATAGAAACTCCTAATACAAATATATACATAAAAGTACAAAAAACATACATAAAAATGTATTGCAAATAGAAATCTAAGCAATGAAATAATGTTGTTCAACTTTCAATATTGCATTTATTATACTTTTAATGATTAACCCTATGGTTAGATTGGAACGGATATCAAAAGTAATGGCAGGTTTACAAGATCTTAGGAAAAGCACAAAATCTATATTTGCTTATAACTTGATAATAATAAAAATTAAAGTAAATGGATGATATTTTGCTGCAATTTAAACACATCTAAAAATACAGAGAACAAACAGGGCAAAGGAGAAAAGTTTGTAAATCAAACCAGGAAATAGATTTTCCTTTTACTTAAAGGAAACTTTTGCCTCTCATTTGCCCGTCGATATTGTGAAAGTTTCAGATTTCAAAAAGTTGATTGAGGAAAGTAACCTTTTAGATACTCCATTAGCGATCTATTAATTTTAACCTAACTAACAAAAAAGGGAGGGAGGAAAAAAAAATAGATGAAGTCTGTCCAAAGACTACTTTTGTTAATCTTTTAAGAAGACATTCACTAATCAGTGCATTTATGGGTAAAGCAACATAAAATGTTTCTCCTTAGAGCAAACATTCTAATGGAGCAGCTACTCCACAAGGGCTATTGCCCTTTATACAAAGTAGACTAAATGAGTCATTTCCTCAGCAGTTAGACACACGGAATCCGCGTCCCCTTAGAAATAGAGTGATCAGCAGGTGCCTGCTCTTCTGCTTCATCTGTCCCGTTTTCCAGCTTCAGTGACTGTTTCTCACAAAGCACCAAAGGGACACAAAAAAACACGTGAAGAAATCACACCGTTCCCACAGAATGAGCTTCACAGTAACTTGCAGTTCTACACAAAGGGATAAATTCAGAGGAACTTACCCGACTTTCTGCCTAAAAAGATGACAAAGTCTGCAAAGAGCGGAAAGCATGTAACACTTCAGGGGAATGCAGGATGCAGCTGCTGCTCCAGCCTGTAAATTGGACTGCACTAACATTACAATCAACTGTTACTGACAAAGCTCGCGAGAGTTGGCAGCAGCAGCTAGATCTAGAGGCAGCCAATCTTTACTTTCTGACATCTGTTCAGAGGCTAATGGTGTAAATGCATAGTGATTCATTTACAAAAATAGCCACTCTTTTATGGCTGAAGAAAAAAAGAAAAAAAAAAAGGAAAGAAAGAAGCTTCTTTAACAGAAAATGCATGGGTTTTAACGGTAGCAGAATTTTCAAGATTTTTCTAGTTTTCTTATGCTTATCTTAAGATTTAAAGGTGTGCACACTGTGCTAAAGAAATTCTACTAATGAAGTTTGTTATAATATTAGCCTGTGAAAATTGTGTAAAGTACACAAAAGAGAAAAAAGGAAACAAAATCTTATTAAATATAAGTTATGCAAGTCAAAAGATTAGTTATTCCAATATCAACTAAGTAAATGTCTCAGATATGTAATTCCTGTCAAATCCCACACTTCAACAGGTTTTTAAAGTCCTATGAAACCCACTGTTGTGATAATTTACTCTTCAGGAGGTCCTACAAGTAGACATATATAATAAAAAGCCATCGTTTTCTGGCCACCACAAGGAAAATGCACTTAAATATTATTGAACTCTTTAGAAAAAAATTTTTGTCACCTGATAGTACATGCTCTGTGAAGAATATATTTATATCTTTCAGGATTATCTTTCTTGAAATACATATTTAGGAAAATTAAATTTAAAAACTTAGTAAACTCTTTAATATCTAACTTCTTAAGGCAGTTTCATTCCAAATCCTCTTATAAGTAAACTTCTTTTTAAATTTCTCACCTTTAGACTCTTTAGGCATATATTTGTACAGAGGTTCATTTTAAGTATTGAATACTTTGCTAAAATTTCAAATATCCAAATATGAAAACTGGCATTTGTTGTGATTGTCTTGTACCAGTCTTTGCAACTGTCAATTTACATCAAATGTCTTAATTATTCCAACAAGTATGTTGCATATTATTTCCATATTATGTTTACATTTATTATATAAATATACTAACAATAATATGCATAAAATCTACATGTCATTATTTTGTTAATATTATTAACTACATTTCCAGATGAGGAAGTTAAAGCTTATAAAAGAGAGATAATGGGGGTGGGGATTTAGCTCAGCGGTTGGGTGGCCTGCCTTGCAAGCGCAAGGACCCGAGTTCTCCCTGGTATTTTTGCAACTGTCAATTTACATCAAATGTCTTAATTATTCCAACAAGTATGTTGCATATTATTTCCATATTATGTTTACATTTATTATATAAATATACTAACAATAATATGCATAAAATCTACATGTCATTATTTTGTTAATATTATTAACTACATTTCCAGATGAGGAAGTTAAAGCTTATAAAAGAGAGAATATGGGGGTGGGGATTTAGCTCAGCGGTTGGGTGGCCTGCCTTGCAAGCGCAAGGACCCGAGTTCAATCCCTGGTATCAAAAATTAAAAATAAATAAATAAATAAATAAATAAATAAAAGAGATATAGTTACTATATATACAGTGGACCCTCGAGTTATGACTCATCTAACATATAAACAACTTGGGTAATGATCAGAATTTTAGTTTTAACTTATGACTAAAGTCTTGAGTTAAGACCCAAAGCCTGGCTGCTTGGGCTTCCAGATGGTCTCAGATGCAGATTTAATCCTTAAAGAGTTCTGGAAGGAACATTACAACAGCCTTTCCTGTGTAGGGTTAATTGAGAAATTCTGGGCCAATTTTCTCTAAGGACACAGATATGGTTGGAAGAAAGTGTGGCTTAAAATTGTACAGGAGAGATTTTGAAGGCAAATGATCAGCTTGAGTTATAAGCAGCCCCAGAAAGAGTTGAGTTCATAAGTCAAGGGTCCACTGTATTCCACTACTAATAGAATCAAACATTAAGGCAGATTTGTTTATGACATTTCATGCCAAATGCTTTAAAAATGCTAAAAAATTGATTACAAGCATATTTAATACATATTTAAATCTATGCACCAATAACATAAAACCTGACAAGTTTTCTTTTGCTGGCTATTTTTACTTCAGTGAACCACCGTTAGTGCCTGCTCCTTTAATTCATCTTGGATTATTATTTCCTAGCTAAGCCACATTGTTAGATGCATTACATCTATTCGTCCCTAAAGCATTTCTTCTTCCTATGTACTTAAAATCCTTTCTTTGTGGTTCAAAGTGCAGCAGCTGCTTTGCTCCTGTGGTGTCATTTTTTCACACATCCGGAGGGAAGATATAGGTCACACAGTGAGCTCATTCAGGGTTAGTAGGCAAGAACTATTCGCTACTGGCAGCCTTGGTGGTTAATGATCCTGCTGTTAAGCCTTGAGTGTGCCTTGTAAGTGACATTGATGAAATGCTGTAGGACTCTTGACACAGCATTAACACTACTTAGATTTTGCAAACTTATATGCTAGAGTTTGGAGCTGGATAACCATTATGATCTTGGCCTATGATTTTTTTCAGTCGTCTGGAAACTAACTAAAGTAGATAAACTTTGAAACTTGATTTTACAGGATTTGAGAAACAAGGAAAAAAACATGGAAAAAAGATAAGGAGCAAGTTTATTTCTTTATAACCTAATTTACTTAATTGGCTCAAATCAACACTTGTCAAAACGTTACTCTCAGAAAAAGTGTATATTCACAATTCATCAAATCGTTCAGAGTGCTCTTTAGAAATCCAGATTTCAAAGTGACATTCCTAAACTTTGGGTTCAGTAGATCTAGAAGGAATCATTTAAACTGGTCTCTTAATTGAGATTGATTAGGAAGGTTCCAGACTACCCACCCTGAGATAAGTCCCAGAACCTGGCTTCTGAGGAAATTGTCCTACCCACTGTACGATTAATCTTTATTCATCCCTTTCCTTATACACAACTAAACCTTTTACTTAAAGCTAATTTGAAGTTATATTATATATAATCTTCTGTGGTCTGCTTTCATATGATCCATTTTGAGATTTGCAAAGTAATGTTACCAAATAGTTTTCTTTAATCTCATTTTATTGTCTGCATTACAGATGCACTATAATTAGTCTAACCTACTCTTGCTGCAAAGGAAGATTGAAATTTCTACTGAAAATGGTGATATAAAATGGATATAATTGTATATTTTACCAACTATAGAAATTATCTTTGAGAGTATAGCTTTATAATTATATATTTTAAAACATGCCTTATTGTTTCTGAGGAATAGTCACATCAGAAATGTTCAAAAGCTGTGTATAGCCATATGACCAACTACCTTCATGATATACTGGTAAAATGTACTCTTGCTGTAAAAAAAATGTCTCTCTTATGTTCAGATGACAATGTTACTTATTCATTTCTATTTCATTTCACAAAAATAGGACTATGTGTGTTTAATTTGTATGCTATTATGATTGACCATGTTTTGATATGTTTATGTTTCCCATAATGTAGCTTTTTATTGTCACATAATTTCAAATTTACAGAAAAGTTTCAAATAAGGGTAAAGAATTCATGTGGACTCTACCTATATTCACCAAATGGTAATTTTGGAGTCATTTTCAATACCATTCTTTTCCGTATACTTGTATATACTTATTGAGTATACGTTTTTCTACACATTCACTATTTATACAATTGTCCCTTGACATTCACTGGTTCTAGTTTTCCCATGGATATAAAAATCTGCAAATGTTCAAGGCTTCTCTGTAAAATGGCAGGGCATATGCATTTGGCCTATGTACAAACTTCCATACACTTTGAATCATCTGCAGATTACCCATAGTATGTAACATAATGAAAATGTCATATAAATAGCTGTTATACTTTATTATATAAGACAGAAAACTATAATTTTTTTAAATGACAGAATATTTTAGAAACAAAGTTTTCAACAATCTTTGGTTAAAATAGACAAAGTCAACAACTAACAACTGATTTTAAAATCAGTAGATGCGTGATTGATGGAGAACTTGATTTTGGGATATTATGAGAAAACACAGATTATGTGTGGAATTTTATAATGTAAAGGGTGAATTTTAGTATCATGAATACTGGAATCCACAGAGTACAATGTATACAACATCACCTACTTTATCTAAAAATTGTGTTTAAATATTTCATCATGGAATTTGAAAATATGACTTGTACTATACATGAAATTAAGAAAATAATGAACAAAAAAAAAAGGCCCATATATTACAAGTGAAGTAATTAGACTCCTAAAAGTGGAGTTTTCTAGCCTGGCCTTGTAAAAAGCTATTAAAAAAGTGGTACCATGAATCTTAGGAATACAATCAGACAATGTGAGCAATGGATGTGACTGACTATCAGAACGGACACTTTTGGAATCAGTTCTGGAAATCTTCATAAATTCTAGATATTAGCTCAAAAAAGAATGAATGAAGTTAAAAATCCTTGATTAAAAGAAATAGGCTTATAATACACTATTAAAACTTTAATTCCACCATAGTAAACACATACAAATACACACATAAACACACACAGAATTTTTGGAGGGAGGAGTCAGTTAATAATGGTTATTGCTACCCAGTGAGTATTTTACTTCAAAATTGTTTCATTTTTCCTATTTTCTAAGTTGCTGTAGTATAGATACTGTTTTGATAAGCATTTATGTATTTCCAAATTAAATTCATTCTTAAATTTAAAATATAAAATGAAATGACCTGCATTTTATACTCAAATGACGTATGAAGGTATTTTTAACCCAAATTTTTGGAAACAATTTGCAACGTGAATTATGTTTTAGAGAACCAGGAAAAACAAAGCTGCCTAATTCATACTATCAGAAAAAAGTAAAATTCATGGTAAGACAAGTTAAAGAGGAAAAGGAGGAAAAGAAGGAAGGAAGGAAGGAAGGAAGGCAGCAAGCAAGCAAGAAACAAGAAAACAAGGGCTGGGGGCAGAGGTTTTACAGCAGAGCAGGTAAACAAAATCAAAGGCAGACAGAAGCTAAAGAAAAAGGGACTGATTTGTGGATCATCCCTAA